CTCAGACACACCAACATGATACCACTCATAAAAATGTATTGGACTCATTGCACCTGTGCCAGTTCAGCACTCCCCCCCTCTCACCCAATCATGCCTTTGGATATGTGTGTGTGTGAACGCCGGATATTTGGATATCATGTACTCTGTGAGTGCGTGTCATTCACTCAAACAGAGAATGAATCACTCAGACTTGAACGCAGACAGACACGTAACCTGTAATTTGTACGCAGGGGAGATCTCCTTTCCATTGCCTCTGGCTTAGTGTGTGGCTTTCCAAAGCACGCAGCAACGTCATTTGTAATTGAATTAACTTTATCCTCTCTGGCAAAATTTCCATATTTAATTCCATTGTAAATAAAGAAATAATAAAACACGATTTCGATAAAAAGATAAATTAGCTCGCATGGCGTTGAACAGGAAGCTTACCCATCCGAATCCTTCCAGGCCTTTTACTTTTGAGCCAAACCTAGAAGAATGCAGCCACTACATCATCCAAACATGTTCAAGAGACAGCAGACAGAATCAGCTGAAGTTGCCACGGGCAACTCGAGAAAACCAAGACGACGATAATGTGAGTCATGCCATCATAGAGCTTTTCATTATAAAGCAAGTTGCTGTTCAAACACTTTAAAGATGCAGCCATTCTGCATCCACACGGCCGAGTCGTGTTGATCAAATAAGGTCAAACAGGACTGGAGGCGACCAGCAGAACACGGCCAAGTCCTCGCATATAAGCGCTTGTGCGTGTACGTACACAGAGGCAGAGGAGGGGAGAGCGCTGGCAGAAGCTGAATGTGTTTGCTCGCTCCAGGGGAGAAGGAAAGAAAGGGAGCAGAAGAGCTGAAACAAACGCATGCTGGCTTCTATTAGTCGAGCTGTAGAGCGCAATGAAGGGGTGAGGAAACATATTCATTCCCTCTGCCTCCTCCCCACCCAACAACATCCCCCCAACCCTCCCACCCCATTATATCCATTCTGGAAAGGCGGCGGATGAAAGGGGCAACCCCCCAGTGGCAGCACTTCTCCCTCCAAACTTTCGCCGACGCATTCTGACGGCTGCTTAATTGTACGTGATACAGGCAGGATCCTTTCTCTTTCAAATCTAAAACAGATTGCTTCTCCCTGGGGAGGAGGATTATTGGACAAGAGAAATGACAAAGCAGGGACTGTCCAGCCCTCTGGGAGGTGGAGGACAGAGGGGGTGAGCTCGTGCATAGTGTGCTTATGTGTGTAAATAGCTTTTCTGTGTTTGTCTTTTGTACAACCCTGTCCTGCAAGAAGATTATGTTTGTACCCATGTGTTTCAAAAGTGCACACATTATCCAACCTCCCTGCATCTTTTTCCACTTTAAAACTCTCTCTTTCGTCCCCTCTTTATCACACATTCACACCTCCCTTTCTCTGATCTTGGCCTCTCCTTTATCTTATCCCGCTTCCACTTCCCCCTCTGTGGCTCTCTTGACCTGGCTTTCTCTTTCTCACTCTAAAGTCCATGCTGCATCTACGTGCAGTGACATCTGAACAAACGCTGCTGTGAACATTACAGAAAAAGCATTAAAACCCTCTCTCTCTCAGTCTCCCTCTCTCACCAAGGATTTACCCATTAAAGTGCACTTTTAGCCACCATTAGCAAACCCGCATTTACCCCTGTTGTGTAAATTCTCAGGCCACAATTGCACTGGCTGTCTGGGGTCATTCCTGGCTTTTGTGTCGCTGAACCACCTACTGAACATTTTCTTCATAAAACACATCTTTCCTTTTTGACTAGTCATCAAGGCAGAGGCTCGAGACAAAGGGGATGAGAGCCATAGAAAACAGTAAAGTACTGAATGTGTGTCTGGATTGCTGCTCCTTTTACGGTGTCCTAAATACCACATCAAAGGTTGGAGGGATAAGGAATTCCCTCCAATAATGAGATGGATGTAATGTTTGCATGCCCTGACCTCTCTCATTCAAATAGCAAGCTGAACAAACATATGGGGTGCTATCATGAGCTCCCAAATACCCCCAAAAAGATTTCTTTTGAGATAGGTGCCTAAAATTAAAAAGAAAAAAAAAAAAGAAAAAAAGAAAAAGACTGCATTTAACGTGCACTTTGCAAATGGATCAAAACTCCATAACAATGTTTGATCAGTAAGGTCAACAAAGGAACTGGGAAAGTGGCTGACTCATCTAAAGATAGCCTTTCTGGATCCCACATAAATAAAAGCATGCCAAATGCTCACTGTTCAAATGCTGGTCATTTGCAGTGATAGGACTGTGCAATCTACACAAGCGCTACTATGCAATCAGGCTAGTATGAGGAACACTATCATTAAGTTGAAGAGATAAACAAAATCTGGAGGAGAGAGGGTGGTTTAGGAAATCTTTTCTTAACATGCTCACACACACAAGAGAACACACACAAACTACAGTTATACAGCACTGCTCTCTGTACTTTCCAGAGAGGGAAAAAGGGGAAAAACTAAACTAGTGTCATTCCACTGGACTTCAAAGCAAAGATGTCTCAATCCAATTAAACTGATTAAGTGCTACTTGATTCAAAATAATAATTCAATACTAGAACCTGTGTCACCACAATCCCAACTAAACTCTTTTTTAAAATAAATGACAGAATTCAGACATCTGACTCCTGTCACATAGGATCAAGTTCACAAAGCAATGCAGCATGATGAATGAGTCGGAGACGACAACAAAAAGCAGAGTCAAGCAAAAGCTCATCTAACATGGTTCTGATTTGGAGGAACAAGTAAGGATAGAAAAGCTAAAAATACTGAGCACTCACCTGAAAGCATCTCCCCACACACACACACACACAAATGGAGAAACTTGGATCAGTATGACATTACATGTGCCTCTTTTCTCCAAAGTGACTTCCCACAGGAGCGTTACCTAAAAGTTTAAAACTGTGTTTGCATCCCGTTTAAACAGAATCTTGTTCAGTCTATTAGACTAACACACATATATGCATATTTGAGCCATTTCCACTTCCTGCAGTAATCACTCTTCCATGAATGTGTTGGCCCTGTTCATGATGAGATGGCATGCGTGTCTGGGAAATCTCTGATCCACTGCTGGCATTTAAACAGACGCACACACTTTTGGTAGCATTCGCTTACACCCAGTCTCTCGGCATGCTTATCAGAAGAACAAATTAGCTCACTGAATACTTTCACACGCATAGAGAGACACACGCACATACATCCGCAAGCAGATCTGAATGATGGCAAAGCGACTACTGGAACAACGTTTGTCTTGGCAAGCGCCTACCCCCCAGAATGTAATTATTTGCAGCAGCTGCTCATGCGCTTGTTTGTACCACAGTTAAGCTAGAAACTGTTTAAAGGATCTATCTTCTTTTCTGCGCTGGCAATAAGGCACGGCGTTTTAAAGCAGTCCAAAGCTGCTTTTCTGTGTTCCGAGTAAGTTAATCAGAATATTGAGTCTAAGCGTTGCCTGCGGATCAGTCTTGTCAGTAGCGAAAGTTTCAAGTTAAAGTTCCCCATCATTCTCCAGCCTCGCATTCAGTAATACACATGGACACTGCCAAAGTGTTGAAATGTAAGTCAGCCAGTCTACTCAAAGAACTGGATTTGAATGGGACCACAGTAAAATTTTGCCATCTAGGTCAGAAGGATAAATTCCCTGGTTTTTGCGGACTTGTAGGTGAGCACAGTGATCCAGTACACATTAAAGTCAAACCGTGGATGGACTTCAACAATGTACCTCACACACAGCAGACAGGGGCAAAATGTACTCCACATTTGGATTTTTTCTTTATTAAGAAGCTTACTAATACTCAGTTTCACTCGGTGTCCCTAATAAAATTTAAGACTGCAAAAGCAACGACAGTCGGTCATGTCTCCAGCTGACTGATTCTAACAATCAGCTCATACAAACAACTCTACAGGTCTTAAAGCAGTACTAATCACTACCTGTTGGTGGTTGTGTTAAATACTTCGAGTAACAAGCAGGAAGTGTAGCTACGGCTGGTTTACAAAGGTAAACACAAATTCACACAGCAGCAGCTTTCACCCATACAACCTTCTCTCCTCTCAGCCCAGCTGCTGTTCACACAACTTTTCACAGCTGCACAGTCTCCATTTGCAAATGCCTCATACACACACACACATAGTGCCTGCAGCAAGGCATAAATACTATACATCATATTCCCACTTCACTGGCAAGTTTCGCTTCTCACTTGACTTGAGCTAAATAGCTAAAGTGAGGTGCACATTCCCAGCGTCTCTCCCTCTCTGCTGAGCTTTGACAGTTTGTCCGGAAAGAACTCTTCAGCAGCTCATCCATTTAGCGCATACTGACACGATCTGCCAGAGGTGCACTCTGAATGAGATTTATGAAAAAAACTTATCTGGCCTGAAGTGAAGGAACATTAAATGCCACGCTGATTTATGGAAATGTCAAAAAAAAAGTGTCTTCATTTGCTATTACAGAAAAGGAAAACAATTTAAACTCAGTACTGGATTTCTGTATGATAAAAAAAAGACACCATTAAAATAAGAACATGATAAAATACAACCTGTAATCTTTTATAGATTGCACCATACTGACAGTTACATACTTTTAAGTGAGAGAGCAGTTTAAAATGTAATGGAGCTACCTTTCACGCTCATATAATCGGTTTCGGAAAATGAAAAATGAACTGATGAACGCTCATGTTTTGGGGGGGAAAATGACATTAATGGAATGTGCTGCCTTCTAATCCCTTGAGACGGAGGAATTTGCGACCGAGGGAATTCCTGTCATTCACAGGGAAAACTATGAGATCCTGCACACACTGAGCTGCTGTACGGGCAGCACAGACAGGCTGCAGGAACAGCGCAGCTCACAAGTCCAGACTTACTGAGTTATACCTGACTCCTGAACTGTAATGTGAATCAGAAATTTACTGCTAAATGAACAACAACATGCACGCTCTGCAAAAGAACTGGAAACCTGACAAAAAAAGAAGTGAAAGAGTAAAAAAAGTTGTACAGTACCTGGAAGGCAGGAGAGAAAAGTGCTGGCTGACTGAGAGGCAAGGATACGATTCCTCTCAGTTTTATCCCCACGCTTCTTGACCAGATCTGCCTTTGCTCATGGAGGGGTTTGTATCTTCGTGCTGGGACTTGGTTTCAAGAGTAGGGGGGACCACACAGCTCCTGGAAGACAACCTCTCTCCTCTAATCCTCTCCCCAATGTGATGACACTCTCTAACCTCGACCATCTGTTGAAACACGTCCCAAAGCAGTCAGCACCACGCTGTGTCAAGAACCCCACTCCCCTGCCCAATCACAGACCGGCTGCTGGGTGGCTCCTCGCTGCCAGGAGGCAGGGACAAGGACACAGCACAGCGCAGAGGGAGACACACACACACACACACACGCACAGTCGGTCACACCACTGCCTCCACCCCACACTCACACAGACACTCTACGAGATGAGAGCAAGAAAACCCCCCAGTCATCGAAACCTGAGAGGCAGAGTAGGACGGGGAGAGTGAGTGGAGGAGGAAGGGGAGGGGAGCAAGCAAGAGAGAGCAAGGGAGGGGAGAGAGGGTGAGAGAGAGGGGCACATGCTTAAGAGCTAAAGTAGGGAAGATAGAGAGATACAATTTGTATCTTTCACATTATGTTGCTGGCAATGTCGCTTAAATAACAATCCCTCCGCCCAATTCCTCTCCCTGGATCTATAGCGCATGTGGTCTAAAGAAATAATACTTTTCAAAAAATGCAATAAAATTCTATATTGGCTCCGAGGTGGGAAAGCTGTTGGCACTAAACTGTTACATCTGCAAGCGCAGAAGCGCAGGCAGCAGCCCTCACACCTTAGTGTGTTAACTCCTTACGTCCCCCGGCCGCATTCCAACCCTTCACCACCTATTGCCTTAAGTTAGAAAAGAGGGCAGAGGGGAATACACTAAAATGACAAAGCTAAGGGAAAGAGTAAGATAAGGAGAAAAGAGATAAGCGACGTCTAGATATTTTTGACTAGATGATGGCCAGCTGTTTAAGCAAACACCTTTGACGATCAGTCTTTCGATGGCAACACAATTACTACTCAGTTTCCTAAACAAATCAATCCAATTCTCAGTTTACTCAAAACACGAGGAGCGTTAGGTGAGAAAGGTTGTCACGTTCATCAGTTGGTTGAACTACTGTCCTACTCATTGATCCATTAAAAAGGGATTATGAGACCCTAATGATATTCAGGGATAAATTCAAAGGCAAGCATTAATGAGGTGATGCCCGTTTGATATGCAACAGCATCATCATGTGTTAATCAGAGTGGGGAAACGGCAAAGAAAGGCTTGTGAGTGATTCATTTACATTACATAAGCACGAGCAGCATACACACAATGCCCTCTGTTTGAAGTTGTCAGACAGGTATTAATCAAAAGTTTGAGTGCCACTTTCCAACTTCCCTTGATAATGAGTCATTTGGTGGGGGAGGGTGTGTGTGTGTGTGTGTGTGTGTGGGGGGGGGGAGGTTAATACCTAAAAGAAAGTTTCACCTTATTGCGTAACAGTCCCAAATCTGTATCAGCTTTATATTTTAATGTTATTTTACTGCACAAACCCACACAGAGTGACTTTTTTCAGTGGATGCTACTAGTAATCTCCCCTGCAGGTTTGCATTAAGCTAAACAAGCCCTAGACATGTAATGCTCTTCCCAGCACCGACTGATGTTTGAAACACGGGCAGTGGTGAGACAGAGCAAGAGCCTGAGGGGGGAACGAGCTCAAATTAGATTAACTAAATTTACAAAGACTGTCCCCAGCCCCTGCTGCACGGTTACACACATCCCAACCCACACCTACAACCCCAAGCCCCCATTCTCACGGCCGAGAGGTTTCAAAAGGGCCTTCAGGCAGGACAGGGGCGACCAAATCCCTGTGCTCTTTACTGGATTAAAGATGGCTGCCCCACTAGGGGAGAGGGGCTGTCTTTATACAAGCTGAGCACATCTGTAAACATCTTAAAAGGTGTGTTTCTGTGAAGAAAACATCCAGAGTCTTATCCACGGCTATTCAAACTTTCAAAAAGGTAGAAAATGGTCAATGGTTTATGCAAACAAGCTAACCATTTTGCACGACCGCCATTAATCTCCATTTTCCATTTTCACTTCCGCTGATGGACACAAGGGCAACAAAAGCGAGGGCAGGGGGAGGTCTATAAAACGGCCTCATCTTATGAATGACTGAATGACCTGCAGGGGGGCAACATGGTCCTCTGGTAACCCCTATTCACTCTCCTTCTCCCTATCCTGACTGCACAAATAATTCACCAAGCACATCAGCGGTGACATCAGGCACATAAATTACCTTTAAGATGAGTTGTTTTCTCTTATTTTATACGTATCTTATTAGGTACCTCTTGTCTCTTGTGCAAGCTTTGCTCTTAAACTGAATCCAAGCCTCTTCTGACCTCAGGCTCACTTCCCCCCTTTTCCTCAGAGCTTTCCAGCCATCAGTTGGGTTTGCAGGTGCAGGCACAGCCCAGTGTGGGGGGGCTCCTCGGTTCACTAGCTCCATTTTCTATGGTTGAATGAGATATATAGGGGTGTCATAGCTGTGATTCTGCCTCTGTGCCAGTATAAAGTGCTACGCTCAAGCTGAGAGGTGGGGGGATTGGGCAGACATGAGGTCATTTTGTCTTGTTTTATAAAGTATTTTCAAACCATTCTAACCTCCAACTGTACTACAGTAGTGTCATGCAAGATGACATGCACAGCTGGTCAATAAAGTGCAGAAGAATTAAAGAGAGCAGAGGGCAGAGGGGATATAAATACGTGATAGACAAAAGGCAAGAAGGTCTAAGGGAAAAAATAGAAAGTTAAAGTCATTGTGCAGTGAACGTTAAATACATACCACACACATATGGAAGAATCTCACCTGATACCCACACTAGCAGTGTCATGGAAAAGGTCAAGAACTCAAGAACCGGTACCAGACATGAGAGAGACATAGCAAAGCAATCTGTACTAAAACTGATGATGTCAGAAGGGAAATAACTTCTTATACATCATTTGGGGCAAACTTTAATTAAATTAAACAATTTTTATCAGATTTGACCAGTAATTTTAAAACACACAGGTTTTATATTCCAGAGGCCATTAAAATTCAAGTTAATTTAGATAATGCTTTAACATGATTGCTCACACAACGCTGGATTTAGACCTTTGCTGTAAACCGACTTAGTAACTTATGAGGTAACTGGAAACCCTTTTACCCTAAGCGGTAAGCTTCCACGTAGTGTCACGTGCACCTCCTGAAAAGTGCAACTACATGTCAACACAGCCCGCAAATATTGTGATATTATTTCTTCTGCAGTTTAGAATTTATCACTTAGAGAATAACAATTACTGTCTCAGTATAAAGATGAATAATAATAGTGTAAATATAAGGACTCACAAATGTCAGCAAATTCCTGGGGGGAGATTGCCGAAGCTACCAAAATGGTCGTGAGGGAATGTACGAATAAGTAAAAAAACCTGAGGGACAAATGTGTTTGCCTCTGGAAAGGAAAAAACTGACCACAAAAAAGAGCCGGGACCCAGGAGGCAAAAAAGCCCCCAAACATGAAACATCGGAACAAGGCCACACAGTATTTAACACGTAAACACATACAAGCACAAATGTAAGCAATGACATCGGCCCCTTACATTAGTCTCTACAAAACTCCTTGGGGAATTCTATACCAGGGGTAAGTGGCCAGCGGGGTTTATTAAGAAGGCTACCGAGCGGCAAGGCTTGCATTTGAAAGTATTTGTTGCTACTGAATTGGTCAGAGGAGCAGATAAACTAACAGTACTCCAGTGTTCATTTGTGCAATATTGTTGGGAGTTGGGATGCTGTGTAAAATGAAAAAAGACAAGGACTTGCTTATTTTAGCAAGAAAATACCAAACTACATCATTCACGTAAATAAATCAGCATGGCTAATTATTAAGCTAAATTGACGTGGCTGCACTCAACAACAACATTTGCAGTATTTTCTGTTTCATTATGAGTCAAATAAATGTTGTGATTTTTTAAGCAGCACAATTCCAACACCCTGCAAGAATAAGACAACACCTCCTGTTCAAAACTAAAACGATCTGTCTCATTTTTCTTCTGCTAAAATAAAGAAAGCGATTGAAAAAGAGCATCTGAGATGTTCTCACTTAATGCATAAAGTTTAAAATCAGTAAATACTATTTTTGTTTAGATTTTCTACAGCTTCCTAACAATTTCTTATAAAAAAAAAAAAAAAAAGAGTTGCGATGTCACATGTAATAAAAATTCTACAAAGGCTCTGATAATTCTTGTTGGCTATAAAGCCATGGAAGTTAGCACAGGTCAATTTTTAACATGCCAACTATTTTTACTTTGTGAAAAATCAGTCATACAGTATAGTGAAATTTGTTTGGATGCAAACGTTCTATTTCACTGCATGTAGCAGATTAAAAAAAAAGGCTGTTCCTGCAAACATCAAAGGTGACACCTATTCTTCCAAACCCATTGTAAATTAAGCTAACAAGCAGTGCTGCAGACAACAAGAATCCACACACTGACGCATTATGAACTCATTTACAGGAACCCGACTGAGTGTGATGGTGATGGGACTAAGAGGTCTTTTCATAATAGCACCCATTAACAGGTTTCAATCAAATGCCACATATGCCATCTCCTCTCTGGCAGATGTTTACATGACATAACATGTAATAGGTCACAATCAAACACACTGTTATGTTTGGATAATCTAATCTTCAGGTTAGAACGTGACAGATTAGTTCAGAGTAGCTCATTCATTTTCATTCACGGAGACAAGTCGTTTCCAAAAACAACTCTTCTTATACTGTGGGGTCAGGCAATGATCAATTAGATTTCCATACAAATTTCCATCCATTTTCTTAGTATTGGTACTAATAAAAATGTAAAAAATACCTACTAACTACTGCATACGAGTTCTGAATTAACACCTCCCAAAGTATTTCTTTGTAATAAGGGAAATGACTTGGCTCTTACAAGCTACCCTCAGTTAATCCCTAAATCATATTCTTATTCTTCTATTTAGTATGTAAAGTATTTTATGTACAGAGTTAAGAAAAACAATAAAATTCACTGACAGTGCAGAGGGAACAGCAGAAATTTCACAGACCACCCACAAAGCTTTTTTTTTTTTCTGTAAGTAGGATTAGGACCTTTCAATGGCTTCTGAAAAGCAAGAAAACAGATAGCAAGACAAATCAATACTATCACAGTTCTGATCTGGTAAACCACAGGATGACGGAAATGTATTTGGGATGGCCTTAAGGTTCGGTAAGTGGCTGGGAACCAGTGCTGTAAACCATGAGATACAGAGAAGAGATACTGATCAATCTCCCTGGGTCAAAGTAAGATGAAAGCTAAGACAATGGTTATCATGTACTCACCAGGTTTCACAGGCAAAGCCCAAGGGACTTTTGACAATGA